AAGGCAGAGGCTGATGTACGGCCCTACCTAGACGGTTGTTTGAAGACCGATTGTGCTAGGGTCTCTCTAGGTTGCTCCCTTGCATGCATTGACAACAAACTGATCCGAAACGAGGAGAGGAAGTAGAGGGAAGCTAATTTTAGCAGATGTAATGACCCGCCAAAACACAGACTGAGAACACTGCTAATTTCTGGGATTTGTCGCTGGAATGAATGCCTTGCTGAGACCAGGAGAGGAAGTAGAGGGAAGCTAATTTTAGCAGATGTAATGACCCGCCAAAACACAGACTGAGAACACTGCTAATTTCTGGGATTTGCCGCTGGAATGAATGCCTTGCTGAGATTCCCGCATTCTGTTGTGATTTCTCGGTCTGTGTGTGTGTGCGTGCCTGCTGGTTTGCATGCTTGTCTGAGTGCTTGTCGGCTGAGTGTGTGTGTGACCCGCAAGGGCACTTGTGGGTTGAAAGGCCCCGCAGGGCCGGTACTTACCTGTGGCTGTGACTTTGAGGGTTGCAGCGGGGAAAACACTCAAGTAGCAGGGGTAGGCCCGCAACACTTCGAGCAGCGGGAAAAACACTCAAGTAGCAGGTAGGCCGATACCACTCAAGTAGTGGAAGTGTCGGGTACTGGAGGCCGAGCAAAAGAACAAAAAGTTGGCATTTTTAGAGGCCCAGTAGCATACGTTAGAGGTAGGCCGGTAGCAGTCCAAGGAGCCTGAGTCTAGGCCCTGTCCAGACGATAGCAGACCCTGCAATGATGTTTCCCTCCGAAAGGGAGGAGGTACCGGTTGCTGGGAGGCCGCTCGGCCTAGGAAGTCACCGCTCAAGAGGCCAGTAGGCGGCTATATCTTCAGGAGGAGCAAGCGGCTCCTCCTCATTTGCAGTATGCAAGGATTGGCGACATGCTGTTGGAGCCAAGCGCTGGACTTGGGAAGCGATGCCTGGGGGAGAAGAGCAGCTGGGCGCTCAGCCTGGCTATGGCAAGCAGCCCAGCCTGAGGAGGAGGAAGAAGAGGGCGAAGGAGGAGAGTGGCGAGGTACCTACCTGGCTATGGTGGACACCATCTTCATCACCTTGTTGGGCGCTGCATCTGGAAGGCCCCAGTTGGGGCAGTACCACACCAAGGACGCTCGAGGCAGAGTCGGGCATGGCGGCTAAGTGAGCAGCGGCATAGCTGCTTTGGGTTGTCCTTTGGACAGGAGTGCAGCAACATAGCTGCTTTGTGTTGTCCTTTGCACAGGAGGGCAGAGCCCTTAGTAGTCCGCTATAGCTTAGGCATGAGAGAGGAGGACGAAGCCAGGAAGCCATAGCTATGGTGGACCTGTTGTTGTGTCAGCAGTAAGAACGAACTTCGGATATTCATTCTGGTTCATCCACTCATTGTTATTATTATTATTGGAAGAACAATAAGATTGGCGAAGTGGAGGAGGAGGAGGAAGGTGGAGAGAGAAGAGGGATTTGTCATTGGTATTGCTGGTGTACATAGTCTTCTTCTTCTTCTTCTTCTTTCTCTCTTCTTTGGTCTCTATCTCTTTGCAAGTGCTTTCATTTCTTTCTCAATTGGGTGGCATTGTCTTTCATTGTTGCACTTTGGGAATGACCAGGATCGTAACACACATGTAGAATTGATTAGAACTCATGTATGCGCGTTAGTGGATAGCGGATCCACTGTAGTGAAACGGTATTCACCTGTTAGCAGTGGCGGATGCAGGTCCCAGGGCTCGATCCCTAGTCCTCACTTTACCTGTGTACAGTATCTGTGTCGACCCCGAGTGTTTGAACCCGTGACCTGTGTTTTGATAGTTGTTGTTGTCTGTCGTAGGTCTGTGTAGTGGTAGGGGTTCGATCTGTAGGTCTGTCGAGTAGGAGTCACAGCCCTGTAGAGGTCGTAGCTGTAGGAATCCTTAAAGGTCAAGGTCGTAGCTGCTACAGTACTCGAAAGGCCAAGTCCACAAATTTCCGGAATGTCCGGAAGTGGCCTTTCGAAGCTCCCTCACGTTTAGTCAGAGGCAAGTGGGCAAGTGGTGAGCCCAGCTGCATTACGTCAGCAGTGCGACTGCATTGAGTTGGCAATGCAAACCCATGCGGTCAGCGGTACTGGTCCAGTCAGTCCCAGCCCAGTCAAGCAAGTACCATGAGGGACTGTGTGCACCATAGGCCTGGTGGAGAGGGGCAGACCAACAAGTTACAGAAGTATAAATCGAAAGGCAGCGCCCAGTCATTCATTCATTCGCTGAGTAAGCCATGCGGAAGCGCTGCTACAGCGTCTTGTGCGAAGGTGGTCTGAAGGTTGTCCAAAGACAAAGTGGGCTGAAGGGAGATCGTAGCCATAGTCAGTAGTGGTAGTGCGGCCATAGCCGCTGTAGGAGGAAGTAAGACTAAGCATGTGTGTGTGGTGGTATTCAGGGTGATCCAGAGTGAGCGTGTGTGAACAGTGGGGTTGGACACAGTGACGGAGGTTGGGATGTTCAGGCGCCGATGCGCCACAGCCTGTTGAAGTGAACTTGCATCTGAACTGTGCTCTTGATTTCCATATCTCGAAGCTTTGAGTGGGCGCCCTGCGCCAGTGTGAATCCCCATCTGTTTGCATGTATGTGAAGTGGAAGTGAAAGCGAGTCTGATTGTACTGGTATCGGAGCTGGTTCCCATTACCCCACGCGCCATAGTCGTTGCTTATAGGGAAGGAGGCGCGCGCCAGTGGGGCGCCATAGCCGAGGTGCACCGTCGGAGAAGGAAGTCCGCCATAGCTGCGCTGCGGAAGAAGGTCACGTGTACGGAGAGAGAGAGAGAGAGAGAGAGAGAGAGAGAGAGAGAGAGAGAGAGAGAGAGAGAGTTGAGCAATACAAGATTGGTTGTGTGGTCCAAGAGGAAGTGGTGGCCATAGCCGCGGCGCTCGAACACGGAGTGACGAAGAAGGAAGGAGGAGACATAGCCGGGGAAGAAGGAAGGAGGGACTACGAAGTTGAAGACAGACAAAGCCGAGGGTGAAAAAAAAAAAAAAAAAAAAAAAAAAAGATGAGAAAGGAAGAAGAAAGGGGCGAGATAGAAGAAAGGCGAAGAAGGTGAAGAGAAGGGGAGTTGGCGAGGAAGGAAGTGCCGGCAGCCATAGCTGACTTGGGAGTTGACCAGGTGTTGACCAGAGAGTTGACCGGGATTTGACTGTCTTGACCAAGAGTTGACCAAGACGTTGACCGGAGCTGTTGACCACAATTTTGATCAAGCTGGAGTTGGTATAATCTCGCCAAGCCCTTGGCCCATCCCCTCGCCCTATGGATGTGCACTTACCCTATGGTACTTGCTGGGTCTGAGTCTGTCTGTCTCTTCTTTCTGCATTGAGTCTCTTCTGTCCAGGTGATAGGACTCCGTGTATGAAGGATACGGCCCCGTTGACCAAACCCACACGGACTGAGTAGGGCTAAAGGCTGTGTCTGACGACTCGACTGTCCCGGAGGACACGAACCCTCCCAAGGACCGATACTGACCGGCGGGCTGCTAGGTGTGGCATGGTAGGCCCAAAATCCGAGCTGTGGGCTGCACAACGGGCCGTCTAAGTCTTGAGAGAACCTGCTGATCGCGTCGTCCTGTCTGCGACGTTAAAGAATTCCTGAGGAGTTACGGGGGATCTCCTTAAATGCCTCCTGATCAGCAATAGGTTCTGTAGTGACGACTGTAGTTTAGAGTCTAGGCTAGAGACCATAGTTGCGGCGCACCAGTGCGCAGTGTGGTGTGGGGCGGTGCGCACTGCACTGTGCACTGGAACGACAGCGCGCACACTGCGCGCAGTACGCAGTGCTGTCCGCTGTGCGTGGTGCGCGCGCTGAGGTAGTTGCGCCCTGTGCGCAAAAAAAAAAAA